ATATATATATATATATATATATATATATATATATATATATATATATATATATATATATATATATTACCTTGCATGCATTATAGTTCCCATAGTCCCAATTTGAGTAGCGATAACCTGGCAGTGTTAACAACGGTGTAAATGCACATTTTGGATGAAAAGAGTAAAGGTAATACAAGCCAATACTCACCAAAAAATGATCATCGTGGCTACAAATGACTATATCGATCTTACTTTCCTGTAAACAAAATTGGAAGAAGCAATAAAACAAACAGGTGGTGGGTGTGAGCAAAATTGTCTTCGTTCATGAAATGCGCATAGTAATGAACGATCATACAAACTTTGTCCTTCAGATAGTATTAACAAAAGATAACAAACACAAAAAACAAATCAATTTTGAAGATTTTTCAGTGGAAATCTCCAAACTTCAGTAGATAATAGTACAGTCAATCAAAAAAGAGGGACGTCTAAGGAATAGGGAAAAACGTAAATTGATAAGATAAAGAAATAATTGTAAGAATTTGACAAAGAGTAGCAACCTTGATATTGATCGACAATTTCTTGTAGCGAACAGGGAAAGAAGGACTTGAAGCATCATCCATAGCAGCAACAAACCAAAGGAAATGGCAAGAGCTTGATCTTGCTCCTTTTGATTCGAGTTGGTGTCTTGTAAAAGAAGAGAGTAAGTAGACTACAGTTTCAGTCCCTAAATTATTCCAATATGCAGCTTTCGTCCACAGATAATATTATTTTTCTCATTTGCTCCGAAGTAGATTATATAATCTTGTTTTAGGGGTTGTTTGGCAGGATCTAAACTTTTAAGCTCTGAATTTTTAAGAGGTCTGAATTTCTAAGAGGGTCTGAATTTTTAAGATCTGAATTTTTAATATGTTGTTTGGTTGGAACCTCTAAATTGCTATGCTGAATTACAAAAATGACCATTTTACCCTTTGTATTATTTTTTTGCTGAATTCAATGTTTATGTTTATAAAATACAATTCTCTAATAGGAAAAAGTTAGAGGAAAAAGTGAAAGTAATGATGCTATAATAGAGAAATCAATAAAAATACATTGCTATTTCTTATATTTAACACCATACAAAATCCAAATTAAACACAAATCCAAAATACAACATAAATTCTTTCAAATCCATGAAAACATACAAAATACCTTGGTGTGATCAGCAAATCTATTAGAAAAAAAAAAGTGATCAGGAAAAACAACAAATGTTCAAGCTAAACAAATACATCCATAATCTTTCTCCATCATTACATGAAACATGCCATTTGACAGCCTCTTAATTTTTCTTTCCAACATTTCAACCTGCAATTGATAAAACAACAAAACAAATAAGCTCAATGGAAATATATACAATCATTAATGGAAGTATTTTTATCGACTTCAAATTTGAATTGATCATCATAAAACTGAAAGGGATTAGAAAAATAAATCCCTGAAATTTGTACAAGTCTAGTTAATACACATTCCAAAAGTGACACCAACTTCTTGACAATTGAAGTACATAAATGAAACACCGACATTTAAAACCTATGCACAACTCCAGAAAAAACCCCTCTAAAATCGATCAATCAACCAAAAACCCGGACAAATCCGAAGGAAGAACACAACTCCAGAAAAAACATCTCCAGATTTAAAATCGAGTTTTAGGGCTTCTGATTTTAGGAAAAAAAACTACTTAACAACCATCTATGAATAGATAATCGATTTTTAGGGCAAGAAAGAAAAAACCTTACATAGAACCGGTGGGAGGGAGAAGGGGCGATGGTATCGGAGTCGCTGTCGGGGTTGTTAACGTCAGCGTCGCTGGCGGGGCTGGTGTCGGCGGCGGAGGGTAGCAGATTGGAGATGGAGCGGGAGGGAGAAGGGGGTGGTGGCGTTGATGGAGTAGAAAGAAATGAAGAAGATGGTTCCTGAAATGTTATAAGGGGCAAAAAGGAATACGCGTCTTTTTTTTTTAATTCAGACATGGTTTCACATCTGAAAAATTAAGAGGAATTTGATAAATTAAGAGGGTTTTATTCAGATGCTACCAAACACACTGAATCTTAAAAATTAAGAGATTGCCTCTTAATTTTCCAATTAAGAGGCAAACAAACAACCCCTTAGTCAAAAACCGTCCATGTGGTAGTGTGGATCGCATCCCTAATAAAAAATTATCTACATAGATTGTTGTTTTGTAAGAAACTAATTAAAAATATGATTGTTTTGTGATATTTGGTATCAATTTTTGTCCATTTTTACAATTAGCATTAATATATATATATATATATATATATATATATATATA